TCAAGAATAAACAGAAATTCTAACAGCCACCAGAGAGAAAAGATGGCTTATCTACAAAGGTCCAATAATTGAGTTGACAGTAAACTTCTCATCAGCAACAGCAGATGCCAAGAGACAATGGAATTGTATCTTCAGAGTGCTGAGGGCAAATAATTGTGAACCTAGAATTCCATACCTTGCCAAACTGTCACTTAAATTTCAAAATCAAGACATTTGACACACACAAGATCTTAGAAAGCTTCTGTTCCAGACCTTCCCAGAAAGAGGGAGGGACAGGACATTGGGGGAGGAGCTGGGAGTTCACAGAGATGATGGGCACAGCGCAGGGCCAGGACTCTAAGGAGGGGGTGGTGGGGCTGGAGGCTCAGGCACTGGAGGGAGGCCGGACTGTTTCAGACCTCTCCTCAGCACCAGCCAGACTCAGGAGCCCAGCCCAGCCTGGCCCAGCTCAGGTTCTTCCCTACTGATTGCCAGCCTTACTGTCCTTCTGTCCCCTCTTCCTGAGCCATGGCAGTAGAACAGCATCCAGGCGGAGGAAGACACCAGCAGCCTGGCTCTGGAGGGGAGGTCAGATGCCACCTCACTGAGGTCTATAGATGGCTAGAGCTGAGGGACAAAGGCTAGGTCCCTACCCAGGAGTTGGTGGGAAGGGGAGTTCATTCTTTATAGGAAAATAATCACAAATGGAGGGACAAAACCCATGCGGGCTAGGCCAGCTGGGACAGGAGGCTTCTAAGAGTATCTGGCTCCAGTAAACCAGCTGGTGCCTTTGGGTAATATCTTAACATTTTTGAGCCCCAGTTTCTTGTTTATAAAATAGGGAGAATGCCTACCTAACAAGGATATGAAGGTGAAATGAGAATCTGTGAGTACCAAGCTTTAGGCGTATTTTCTTTGCTTTTTTTTTTTTGAGACAGGGTCTCACTGTGTTGCCCAAGCTGGAGTGCCGTGACACAATCTTGGCTTACTGCAACCTCTGCTTCCTGGGCTCAAGTGATCCTCCCTGGCTCAAGCGATCCTCCCTCCTCAGTCTCCCAAGTAGCTGAGAATACAGTCATGTGCCACCACGCCCAGCTAATTTTTGTATTTTTTGTAGAGATGTGGTTTCACCATGTTCCCCAGGCTGGTCCCAAACTCCTGGCTTCAAGTGATCCTCCCACCTCAGTCTCCCAAAATTCTAGGATTACAGGCATGAGCCACCACACCTGGCCTTAGACATATTTTCCTAGACAGAAATTTCTTGAAATGATAATCTCCACTGAACACTCCTGCCTGGCATATTATCAGAGCTCAATAAAAAATTGTTAACGAGAAAAAATGTCATGGTTAGAGCAGATGAGCAGAGGTGGGAATGTGTGCAGTGTCAAGGATGGGTTTGTGTTCACACTCACTCATCAGTAACTGTTACCCTCTTGGTGCCAGGCTCTGGACTGCACTCTGGAGGTGCAGAGATGACCCTGGCCTGGAGGACTACCTGTGAGGAAGACAGCCCAAACCAGAAAACACCAACAGAGGGACAGGGCATTTCTTCAGAGGCTAACCTGGTCTTATGTTTGTGTCTCTCCCCCATTCCCAACTCAACTCCTGCCCTCAACCCAATCTTCAATATAAGTCCCATGGTAGCAGAGAAGTCAGACTTGTCTTAAGCTGTATTCACAATGTTTAAAACAAAGTCTGACACACAGAAGGTGCCAAAGAAACATCTGCTGAGTGACTGGAGATGAGCTCTAATAATAGAGGTTGTAGAAGTTCAAATGGGAGCACTGAAGAGGTCTTTGTTGACTCTGGCCCAGGAATTAGAAGTTTTCTCAGCAAGGGCCATTTAAATTGGGCCTTGATGGATGTATAGGAGCTCAATAAGTGAAAAAGGAAGTAAAAGGGCATTTCAGGCATTGTAGCTAGCATATTCTGAAAATGTGGAGGTAAGTTCAGAAATCAGTGAGTAATTGGGTGTGACAGGAGCATAGAGTACAGGAGGTGGTGGGAGAGAAGAGAGCGAAAAGAAACAAAGCTAGGGAGATAAGACAGATCTTGAACCAACTTGAGCTGTCAGAAAGTCCTTATTAAAATCTGACCACCTACCTTGAGGAAATACTCTGCAGAGGGTACAGTTTCCAGCCCTCACGGTTATCCTAGGGAGGGCCCTACCTTCAAAGGGTGAGAGGGTCTTATCAGGAAGGGGGTTAAAAAAGGGGACAGTCATACTCCCACTAGTTCCTAGAATTATCTCCAGTTGGGATGAGGACAGGGCACCTCCCAGAGACGCAGGTGAGGGCTGCATACTGCCCCCTTGTGGCTTCCGCAGACCTGCGCTGCAAGGAAGCCAGCCAGATCATCCACTCCTGATTCCAGGGGTCTCAATCTCCAAGGTCATCCTTGTGGAGAGTTATCCCAACCACCAGCTGTCCCCAGACTAGACCCAACTGCTTTATTTATTTCACGTAGACTCAGGGCTTGGCCAGTCAGTTCAGGCAGACTGAACAAAAGGAGATGGTTCACATTTCAATAGCCTGGTACTTTCTTACACATATACACGTCACCTTTGGCCAGAGAGCAACTGTGTATGCACAGGGGGTAAGGAGATCCGTGTTTTGGTTTCAATTCCACCCTTAATTCGTGGAGTGACCTTGGGCAAGTCACTGCACTTCACTAGCCCTCCCATGGCTCCATCTCTGACACGGGGATCATGATGCCTTTCTGTCTCCCCTGCAGGGTCACTGTGAAGATCATCGGGAGGGAGGACGGATGCTGCAAGTGCTAGGAAAAATGTTTAAAGAGTGCTCCGGATGTAAGGGGATCGTGCTGGGTATTAGATAGGGGCTCTCTTGGGCTGCACTAAAGGGTTTGTTTACACCAGGATGGGCCCTGCTGGCAGGGCAATTTAAAGAGAAAGTGTTCAGCAGGGAAGCTGCTTGCTAATCACAACTGATCGAAACATCTCTAAAACCAGAATAGAAGTCTATGGGGAAATGGGAACTCATTCATTGGCCTGAAACTCCAATCACACTTGGGTTTTTAGGAGTGAACCAAAGAACAAACAAGGTGAGACACAGGGCACCGGGAAATTTAAATTGTGGAGCTTCTGCCTTTTCTTCAAGCTCAGGGCCCCTCTGCACGTTCGCTTTCTCCTTCTTGCGTTCCCAGCATGCAGGGCTGGGCACAGGGCTATCAGAGAAAACTTGCTGATTATATGATGTCTCACTAAGACCAAGTTCAGGACAGCTGGAAAGGCCAGAAGATCCCCTTCAGAAAAGAAGTCCAGAGCTAGAATGAAGACAACTAGATAAAGGAGGGACTGATTTGGGAGTCAGGAGCATGTGGGAGCCTACCCTGACGCACTGTTATGGGGTCAGACTTACTGACTTCTGATGGTGAACTGTCACCTGCTTTACTTTTCGGATACACAGTATCATGTATCCAAAACCTTAAAGCTAAAAAAACTTACTTTTGAAAAAAAAAAAAAAGTTATTTTTCTTTTATAATGTGAATCCTTCATCTGGTCTTATCTCTTTTTGCTTTGGTGGCCAGGAAGCTCCGGGTCAAATAATTCTAACAACTACATAGGTTTTTATAACCATGATATTTGTGTTTTTGTTTTCTAGTAATCCTGATTTCCTACTCAATTATATATTTCCTAATTCTAATTTATCCTACTTTATTATTTCATTGTGTTGTTTTCATTGCAATTTTTTCTTATGGACTGAGAGGTAAGGTACAGTTAAGGAAATGAAATAGATGCTTGAGTATAAGCCACCATCATCAAGACAATATGCCAATCTAGAGGAAAGGACAGAGCTGGCCAGACTTGAATCTAGGCAACGTATTTAAGCAGATCCCAGAGATCTGAGGAATCTCCTGGGAGAAGAAAGATCAGAGGGCAGTAGTTACCTGAAACTACTCGTTGAAACCCAATTCATGTCTTACAGTGGATATTTGGTGAGAAAATCATAAAAGCATCAGGCTCAGACTTGAAACCATCTAATATAAGCCTTTCCCCAATTTCCACCTCACCCATTGAGACAGTCCCAAAGACAAGGGAGTTGTCCATGGTTTTAGGGCAAATACCTACATTTCCTGGCACCCAGCTCACTGTTCTGCCATCAACAGCAGCTTATTCCAGTTGGAAGGATGACATGGTGGAGGTAATAAAGATGGCTCATCTCTGGCCTCTGTGGCCAGTGAAGAAGTGGAATGCACTCTCTCTTCTCCCTGCTTCAATTAACAGGAAGCAGGTCTCGGCTGTAGAACTCCTGGCTGACACTGGGCCTGGGCTGCTCTCTGTGGCAGATGTCATGCCACAGCAGGTGATGGGTATGGCCATAGCAGGCAGTTGAATGCCAGCCTGTGCCAGGCAGGACTGGAAGGATTTACCCCAGGCTTTGTTTGATAGAGCCAGCTTTCTTCATGAGAAAGACCCTCAACCAAGCGGGACACAACTCAATCTGACACACGGGTGAGAATCTAGTAAGTCCAGCAGGCAGGCATCTCTGAGCAGCAAATATATTCCGATGAAGTTCACTTTTAAGACTGGCTGAGGTAGGCCAGGCACAGTGGCTCATGCCTATAATCCCAGTACTTCAGGAGGCTGAGGTGGGAGGATCACTTGAGCCCAGATCAAGACCAGCCAGGGCAATACAGTGAAACCCTGTCTCTATATATAAAATATAAAAAAATTAGCTGGGCATGGTGGTACCTGACTATAGTCTCAGCAAGGAGGCTAAGGTGGGAGGACTGCTTGAGCCCAGGAGATTGAGGCTGCAGTGAGCAGTGATCACACCACTGCACGCCAGCCTAGGCAACAGAGCAAGACAAAAAAAAAAAAAAATCAGCTAAGGACTGCAGTTTGAATTAGACACACAGCATGAAGTTCACTTAGCTTTGAACATGCCCTTCTCACAAGGGTGGCCCTCTCTCCCAGATACCCAACCTGAGGGCAAATGAACCTTTCCAAGCAAAGTGGCCCCATGAATGCCCCCAGACACAGAAACCCAGACTCTCAATTATCTAAAATGAGATTTATTGCATTTCATGCAGTTTGAAATCCATGCAAAGGCGACTAGCACAGTTTTTAATGCATTTAAAAAATAAAGGGGAGGTGGGCAGCAAACGCACAAAGTCCTTAGTCTCCTGGGTCCCCTGGAAGAAAAGAGTGTGGCAATGAACCCACTCATTCTCCATGGGGAATACATCTGTCTCTTAAATGCAAAGAATGTTTCCATGGCTTCTGGATGCAAATACACAGAGCTCTAGGGTAAGAGCAAGGGATGGGGAGAGGACCACTAGTGAAAAAGCAGCTACACACATTCACCTAATTCCATCTGAGGGTAGAACAGAACAACATGGCAAATCTTGGGGGCAGCAGCTGTTCCAAGAGTCAAGAAATACCATACACCCCTGGGAAGATTTGCTCCAAAAAAAAAATGGCGGTAAGAAAAAAAAAAAAAAAAAAAAAAAAAAAAAAAGAAAAGCAAAAGGAGAAGTATTTCTTCAACCACACTCTTCAAGAAAATGCCATAAATATGTTATTTAATATTTTAATTTCATAGCATTGGACACACAGCTCAACATATTGAAATATTGATTCCTTGGAGAAAAAAGTGGAAAAAAAGGAAGCAAAAAAGATTGCGTCTTTCAGTTGGAGAATCTCGGCCCCCAGGCATGGGGCGTAGTGCACCAGTGTCCTAGCCTGCAGGAGGCGCTGAGGTCGGCCGGGTCCTCTGGGGAGGGAGGCTGTGCCCATCGCCTGGGGCTGTATGGCAAAAATTGTGTTGGGTGTCCTTGGCCTTGCCAGCTTAGGCCCTCAGTCGCCGGTCACCTGGGGGGCCTGCCCGTCGGAGGGCTGGTTGGCTGACTGGATGAACATGGGCTGGGCGAGGTCCTGGCCTGCAGGCATGGTGACTTGCTGGATCTGGTAGAGCTGCTGCGAGGGGTGGAGAGGAGAGAGTGAGGTCACCCCTGGGAGAGGGGCATGCAGCTCCCTATGGGTCTCAAGCTGGTTGGGGGTCCCAGATACCTCAACCACCACCCACTGCAAGGCGTCAGAAGGAGGAGGGGATGTGGAGCTCTGCTGGGGTTGGGAGCAGCAGACACAGGAGGCACCAGCCCGGTGTGAGGGGGGGTGTGTGGTGGGCAGGGAAGAGGTGCAGGGAGTTGAATTTCCTGTGGCTTTCACTTCTCTGGGCTCTGCCTCTCCCGTTAGCTCAGAGACTCGAGCTTGCTGCACGCTGTTCCTCTGTGGCAAACACAAGCAATTCGAACCACTGTACCAGCAGCTTGGAAGTCAGCATTTCCCCATCTCTTGGTAATCCACACTGGCAGGAGCAGTAGGATTACCCCCTTCTCTCCTCCTTTTCTGAGAATATCTGGCTCAGGTAGAAGCTAAACTGAATTTGAATTTTCTCCATGGGCCCTGCTAAGGAGGTGGCCTGGTATTAAACACTTACTATAGTCAAGACCCTCCAAGGGTGAAGAAGATACTCACACAGCCACTTAGGAAGGTCAGGGCCAACTGACTAGGTTTCTCAGGCGCTCCCCCAAAGAAATCAAAGCCAAGACCTCATGGGACCCCTGGTATGTAAGCCTAGCATGTGGTGCTGGCAGAAGCCAGAGGTGGGTTCTGATGCCAGCTCTTCTCCCTTTTGAGCAGCAGAGGGCACAAGTTTGGGCATGTCATCCTATCATATCCTCAGTGGTCTCTGGGACTGTACTGTGAGGGGAAAGCAGAGGGAAAAGGGAAGATTCTCTCCTCGCATGGATTGAAAATTACTGAATTTCAGGCACCCGGAGAGCTCAAAAGGTCACACGTTCCCTGCGTCTCAACCGTCCACGCTATTAAAAAAGCATCATGGCTTAGGGGGGAAAAAATCTAGTTCTAGAGAGGGAAACAGGAAACTTGTACTCTAGTCCTGGCTCTGCAATGAACCAGCTAAGGGAGCATGGACAAGGCACGTCTCATCTCCAGGGCTCAGTTTACTCATCTGTAAAATGGCAATTGGGGCTACATATCTAAGATTATGTTTAGTTCCCACTAAGTCTATAAAACCAAAGGACAGGTGCCCTGATTTAAATACTGTACTTGTTTTAACAATTTCTATCCACTGATTGTTAGTAGAGGACAGGAGAGTTGCCCTAACCATCCAAACCCAGATACTACCTGCTACCCTGCCCCCCAATTCCTTCCCTCTGCCCCTACCCAGGCTGGGTACCCTACCTGTCCATCTGTGAACTGGCTGAACTGCTGCTGTCCTTGCTGGACCTCTGTCTGTGTAATCTGTAAGAATCAAGAGGGCAGAGTTGACATATCAGCTACAGGGTCTGATCCACCAGCCCACCACCAGAAGAGGGTCATGAATGAGACAATGCATATAAAGTGCCCAGCAGGTGCTCAATGAATAGTAAGAAAGCAAAGGCCCCTCCTAATCTCTAGCACTGATCTGATGGCTACCCCAAGAGTTGGCAGCACAAAGGGACACAGAGAATCCTGAAGCACATCATATACAGATCCCACACCCATCTCTCTAATGTCTGCCTATTCCCTCAACCACCTATCTCAAGGTCTGAGGCTCAAACAGAACACACAGCTTCTAGGTGCTACAGTTTGGGGCAGAAGTCCTCAGAGTCAGTCTTTCAGCCAGTGAAGGCGGAGTGCAAAGTGTTAGACAAAACGGTGAGTGGTCTCTTTCATTCTTGGAAGGTGGGCTCCAAACCAAACCCGTATCACCCAGATCATCTGACTGGAATATGAAACACCCTGGCGAGCAAGTGGCCTTGGCCCCAGTAGTCCTCATGGAAAACCTATGAAGTACTTTTTCCGAGAGAGGCACTGTGAGGCCCTCTGGGCCAAAAAGGAGGGGAGGAGGAGGGGGGAGAGTCAGGGAGTGGAACAAAGACAACAGTTATCACATGTACTTAAAATCTTACGTGTAGGCTGTAAATGGATTTTAAATAAATTTACTGACATGTAGATGCATGTATAATGATGACTGCTGGGAGCAGCTTGGTAAACTATTGGTAAACTAGAAAGAAGACTGCGGTGTGCACGCACGTGTTTCTATGAACATTCGACCTGCAGTGTCCTTTGTGTACCATTTCCTGGAATCATCACAGCCAGCCTGCAAGGCAAGGACTGTCCTCTGAAATGTCCTCACCACCGCCAAAAACAACCCCTGCAAGCCTACCCATGAGGCTACAAGGAACAAGAAAGGGAACAGGTAGAGAAGGCTTCATGATTATTTTTTACTATTGTTCCTTCTTATTTTGGGTCCATTTCCTTCACACAGCCTAGAAGCTGTGTGAGGGCGGGACCCCATACAAAGTAAGTATTCCAGAAATGTCTGCAAAATAAACAAGTGAGCCTGAGACAAATGGAAAATACTCCTCATAGGTAAGAAGGTTAACTGCTCTCTGGACAGCAGGACTGCCATTCATATTAGCTGAGGTTTCATTTACCTTTAAATTTTATTTACATATTATTCATTCAGCTTCATTCAACAAACATTTACTGAGCACCTACTAAGTACTAGGTTGTCACAATTACAACCTGTTTTTATGGAGATTTTCACTGCCCTCAGCCACCTCTTTCTTGCTTCCCCCCATCCTCTCCCATTTTTTGGCTTTAGTTCTGTTCCCAAAACTGACTTTTTTCTTTTTTTTAGAGACGGAGTTTCACTATGTCGCCTAGGCTGGAGAGCAGTGGCACAATCTCGGCTCACTGCAACCTCCACCTCCTGGATTCAAGTGATTCTTGTGCCTCGGCCTCCTGAATAGTTGGGATTACAGGTATGTACCACCATGTCCACATAATTTTTGTATTTTTAGTAGAGACGGGGTTTCACCATGTTGGCCAGGCTGGTCTCAAACTCCCAACCTCAAGTGATCCACTCGCCTTGGCCTCCCAAAGTGCTGGGATTACAGGTGTAAGCTACCGTGCTCATCCCCAAACTGACTTCTGAGAAACCAAGAAGCTTCCTTCTCATTTCCTCCCACTCCCATGCCATTATGTTTTTTGGATCCCAGGGGAAGAATCTTACAAGGTTAAAACGAGGGGCCGGGGGAAGGGTGTATCAGTTATGAAAAAGCCAACTCCTTAGGTAAGCCAGGGAGTGGGCACAGAAAGAGCCCTTAATGATCCCAGAGACTATATGGAACTCAGAAGCCTTGCTTTTGGCTCATTCCTCCTATTTTCCCAAATGAGATCTTCGGAGACCTGCTCTACAAACTCAGCTCTGTCACCACTGTCAATAGATACATCACCAGAAATGCAACTGGGCCAGACGGGTCCAGCTCTTAAACGATCGCTGCTTTTTTTGGGTCTGAGGCAAAAGAATCCATTAACAATGCCTCCCCTTAACCAGCAGCCCCCCCATCTTGTGTAAATGATGCCCACATCCCTCAATACCCCCAAGCCCAGGGAGGCAGCCCCCTCACCATCTGTGAGTCAGCCATCAATATTGTAGGGCACAAGAGGAGAGGAGAGGGGCAATTTTTCTGGTTAGGGATGCAAGAGGACGTGGAAATAAAATCTAAGCAAGTTTTTCAAAGGGCACAGAAGGTGCCAGAACACAACAGCCACTTGGGTGTAAAGATGGAAACTCAGCCTGACAATCAGGCAGTCTGTCAAACATTTCCCGGGTCTAATGGGTGTGCACACCTGTAAGGTTTCTTTCAGGCACCTTTGAGGCTCCCCCATGACTTGCACTTCTCTGCCCATTGAGAACAAGATAGTAAGAGAAAACCCTTTGAATCTGATCTTCCAATTACCACCCATGCCTCTTAGGGTGCAGAAGAGATGTGGCGGATGTGCGGGCAGTGCCTCTGGCTGAAGGATGAGGTGGCAAGAGAGCTGTGTGTTCAGTACCCCTTTCCAGTCAGAAGCCATCTGCTGCTGGTCTCCAACACAAGCCTGTGTCTCTGGGGCACATACCTGTTGAGCATTGGTGGCAAGTGTCTGGATCTGTCCCTGCACAACTTGGGTGCCTGATACAGGCTGGGCTAAGCGAATATACTGCAACTGGCCGGCGTTCAACTGCACCTAGGGCAGGGGCAGAGACAGAGAGACCATAAGACATTGAGTATAATCTCAAACACACAAACTTTCTATGACCAGAGATGGTGATTGCCCCCTACCCCTCAAGCCCTCTAAAGAAGCCTGCCCTGAAAAAAGTCCCCTTTAAACAGAGGTCAAAACAAGCAAAACCAGAGTATCCACATTCCACAAGTCACACAACACAGCAGAGTACGTTCCCTGAACAGACTTCAGAAAAAACTCCCAAAAGATCCTGTCACAAAGGTGAGAACAGTATGGCTGTATGCTTATTATTTGCTAGCTCTTAGCTCTATGATCACAGTTTATCTTAGGAATTTATCTGTTTGACATCGTAAGAATGCCTGTACATTAAGTGTGGGCCTCCTTCCCTCCCATCTCCCACAATTCCCAATATTGTAAAGAGATCAAGCATCCGCCAGGAGCCCAAAGCAGACAGCCATCGTTCCACACCACAGCCCTCGCACCGCCCTGCCCCATGCTGCACATCTTGGAGGCAACAGCTGGCCTGCTTAACCCTCTCTGTCCCCAGGAGCCAGGCTGGATGGGGGTCTGTGGGACTTTTAGGATCCTTGGTGATCAGCACAAGCTTCTGGCCAAACACCTCCCAAGGGGAAGTAGAATCAATAAACCTTTCACAGAAAACCCCACCATGGGAAACAAAAGCTACAAAAGTGCCCTTAGAGTCTCTGATGCTTACGATTAAATCTCAGATAATACAATAATACCACATGCTGCATTTAATTGTGTGCTAAAAGCCTTAACTCAGGCTCTTAACGCTCCAGTGTACCATGAAAGTATTAGTGCTTTGAGCTGGGGATGAGAAGAGGAGCAAGGCAGTTACCACGTGAGAGAACGTAGCTCAGCAAAGATAATGGTCAGCAGAGGAGGACTGCAGACATTCACGCCCTTGATTTAGAGGGAATAAAAGGGATTCGGGGAGCATGGATACCCAGGTCTTTCTATCTGGGGGCCCCAGAAACCACCTGCCCTGGATGCCTGGCCTACCCTTGTTGCAAGGGGGAGCTTCTTGCGGCTAACAGGCAAGTGTTGCCTCTGCTCTGGAGCAAATTTCCCTCTGGCCTTCAAGAACTAACTTCACTGCAGGACTCTTCCTTCCATGAGGAAAATGTTAATGGATGAAGCTTCACTCCTGCATGCGGTGTTCAATCAAAATGCTTCTCTGAGACTTCCAGCCTCACAGAGTTTGACCTACCAAGAAAAAACTACCTCTGTAAGTTCCTGGTAGACCATTCCAGAATTGCTCACTTGAGGCAAGACTCAGGGACACACAATCTAAACCCATTAAAAACCTGGTTCAAAGGAGACAGAGCGAGAGTATTATGACCTGCAGTCATTTCTCTCCTGAGAATATGCCAAGAGAAGCTGCTGGGAGGTGTGGTGCCAACCCTGAATTCCCCACCTAAATCCTACAATGCAGCTTCCTGGCAACAATGTTAAGTTGCTTGTGGTGAGGAAGGCAGCTGGGCGGAGGCTTGGGAAACCTCATCTACAGAGACTGATGGTGGCTAGTCCCAGAAGTCCCTAGAACTCCAGTCAGGGATCACAAGGTGAAAGACTAAAGCCTTGTCCCAGGAGTGGGAGAAGGTATACTGACAGCCACAGGATGTAAAATTTTCTAGCTGGGAATAGCTCTTTGCAGAAACCCAAATGTGACTGAAAAGCTGTGAGCCAAATGTTTCCAAGCAGCTCTTCAATAAAAGCAAGAAGCTTTCCTTTTAGGCTTAGGTTAAGACATTTGGTGATGATCCGTCCCTCATTCCTCTATGGCAGGCCAGGTCTGGGGATCCTCATAGCTTTTTTACATTGATTATTGAGAAAATAAGCTGTGGATTTTTGAAAGGGAAATAAAGATTCCTTCCTAAAGCTCATCTGTTGGGAACATTCCAATTAGCTGCCTAAAGAGTCTGGAAATGAAGACTCCTACAGAAGGTACCTGAACCAGTGAAGATGAAATAGTGAATTCTGCCACAAATCTTCTGGGCTAACGCTCTGTACCCCAGAGGGTTACAGTATCTGCCAGGTGGAACTCCTCTGCTTAAATGAACTTGGGGTGGTGCCTTCACTTGTAAAAATGAGAACCATTCAACAGCAATCTTGGGGTTGGGGACTGAAACAATGAAGCCAGGCAGAGCCCAGTCACCTGCAATCTATGGGTATCGAGCACACGTGAGAGAGGTGGAGAACGAGACACACACACTCCACTTTCCTAAGCTTTCTCTTGGTCTATTACTATGTTAACTTCAGATGAAAAACAATTCCTAAACTGATCTAAGGATGCTTTTAGAGTTTTCACAGAGCAAGTGGTTAACCAAGTCTATGTGAGTTTCTATACCTGCCTACATTTCATTTACAACAGAAAGGGCAAAGGGTAGGAAACAGAAAGAAGAACTGCTCTGTTTCACTCACTTTCCAGTTTTGGGGGTAAAATGACCAATGTACAGATTGCAAGTGTTAAGACAAAGACATATTTTACAAAAGAAGGAGTACAAGTAAAAAAGCCAACAAATCTAAGAAATGAAATCCCTCAAGGCACACAGGAAGCAGCAGTCCACAGTAAAGGAATGGATAAGTTATATGAAAGCCAAAAATACACTTTGCTGCAGGCTCCACTGGGAACTGACTCATGAATATGCAACAAGTGTATTTATGGCCTTTCCTATACACCTCCCTCTTATCCTCTGCTAATCAAGACAGGACTGCCTCACAGGGCCTTTGGGCCTTGGCACGAGTAGTGGTTACAATGATTTCCTGTGTAGGTGGAATGAGGGAAAGCTGAGGAGCTGACCCATTGTGGTGAACCTGAACCCGCATTAAAGGAAAGCAGGGAACACAGTGAAGCAAGTTGTGGTCAGGAACACTGGGTATATAGGTTAAAAACAAAACACACACACACACACACACATACATATATAAAAAGTATGTGGGCCTGGCATGGTGGCTCATGCCTGTAATCCAAGCACTTTGGGAGGCCAAGGCTGGCGGATCACCTGAGGTCAGGAGTTTTGAGACCAGCCTGGCCAACACTGTGAAACTCCGTCTCAACTACAAACAGAAAAACTAGCCGGCGTGGTGGCATGCGCCTGTAATCCCAGCTAGTAGGAAGGCTGAGGCAGGAGAATCGCTTGAACCTGGAAGGCGGAGGTTGCAGTGAACTGAGATCAAACCACTACACTTCAGCCTGGGTGACAGAGCAAGCCCCGTCTCAAAAAACAAAACAAAACAAAAAAAGCCAGTATTGTGCATGTGTTTAAATAGCTTTAAGTATTTCCGTCTACAGAGTCGTGAAGACAGACCTCAGGGCAGGACTCACCGGGATCTGCTGGATCTCTCCTGTGTTAGTGATGATCTGCTGCATCACCTGCATTGTCTGTCCAGTGCCACTCTGGGCCTGCTGGGCTTGACCCTGAGGCTGAGCCTGGACAATCTGCACCTGCTGACCTTCTCCAACCTGCATTGTCACAGGCGTGGTCTGAAAGGAAGAGTTATGAGAATGCTGCATGAGTTCAGGCTCAGAGTCTATAGGATTACCAAGGGGTTAATAACGAGCAATTTGCCAGGAGCAAACCCTCTCCATGAATGCCTAAACTCATCTCAATATTAGTAATACTCAACCTACAGAGTCCTTTGGATTTAGAGCATTGCTAAAGTTACTCTCTAAAATGAAAGGAAAGCCAAAAATATTTTCAGGCTCATAGTATACAATATTTGCATGGGTCCCAAACATAAATCTCTGTGCCCCAAATGCTGCAACTTTTTCACAGCCCTGTTAGTGATGATAAGTCACATACGATACAGAAAAAGTTAAAAGCAACCATGACAGTTTACTTCAGAAATAGCCAAAGTCAAGTCTGCGGCAGGTGAATTTGGATATTAAATGGAAAGAGTTAGTATGAATTTATTTAGTTCAGAATCATATGCTCTTTCTTAGGTATAATAAAGCACAGGGGTGCATCTCCAAGGCTGGCCCTAGTGCACACTGGCTCTCACCCCATTCAAGCTGCAGAGCAATTCCTGCCCACACTGACCAGATGGCTGCTCTGGACGACAGTATGCCTTCCCACAGGAAAGCAACCGCTGCTAACTCACTGGACACTGTTAAGACACGGACTCTTACCTAAGTCAACCCCAAATTAATAGAATTTAAGAAAGCAAGAGCTCTAGCTTTCTAAAAATAGCATTCTCGGATTTAAGAAATTTCTGCCCAATGTATGACTTAGCAGATTCTGTCTCTCTCACACACACTTAACGGCTGTAGTCCTATGAAATGTACTCTTTTAAGAGACGTTAAAGACACAAGCTGCCAAAAGGGTCAATCGTTCTTTCAAATCTCAAAACGTTAGTACTAGTTGTGACTTTTAGAGGTTACCTGGAGAAGTGAGCGTATCAGGCTCATCTGGTGATGGTAGTGATGGAGTCGGGGTGGTGGAGCATTTTGAACTACAGCTGTACACCCAATCTCTGACTTGAATTCCGTTACTCTCTCTCCCCACTCTGAATTAATCACCTCGGTAAGAAGACTATGGAAGTCTCAATGAAACATAAACTTCAACTGATGTTGCTATTCTGATGTTCTTAATTCTGACTACATAGGTTACTGAAAATTACAAGTATGCATCCAGAGTTACAAGGGAAGGGGATGGATGTGTTCTGTGAACAACAGATGAGATTCAAGGAATTACTAAGGAGAAATTACTATAAACCGGAGGAGGGCAGGAAAGAAAGACGGCCGGGTGTTCTAAAAGTACATGCAGTGGGCTAGGCCAATGGAAAACATCTCTTCCATTCTTGTACCACAATTTTCAACTCAGCCTATTCCCAAACCTCCAGAAATAAGTTTCCAATTTATGACAGAAAACACAGGATTCATTTTACCAAAATATTCATTCTTTCCAACTGTTTAATACATACGTATTCTGTCCTACAAAGGATATCTGCACTCAACTTGACATAGCCGTCACTATGGGTCCAGGGAGGAGTGACACAGCACAAGGCCACCCTGAAGCAGCAGGATGGTGAATGAACAGCCGGGAAATGCTGGGAAGGACCAACTTCACCAACCTCACAAGCCTTATCAGTTCCAAGATGAGCAGGTCTGGGTTGGCAGAGAAGAGGATAGATGAAATTCTTGCTGACTAAAAAGAAATGCATGCTGCCAACTCATCACTGTGCTATATCAACCCAATTTTCCCAAGAGGATTTCCAAGGTATTTCTAAATCATTTCAGGAAAATGAGGGCTTGTGTTAGCATGGCAGCTGTCAAATCACGTATGGTGTGCCCTGCTGTCAGGGCACAACAGCCATGAGCTTCTTAGGATGATCAGCCAACCAGAGCCTGCCCATGGCAGACTCCCTCTAAGTTCACTCTGTAAAGGGATAAAGCCTTTGGCAGGTAAAGCTCTCACCACTGCAGAGGCACAAGCATTAGCCAAAGAAGGTCCCTTAGGCATCATGGTGTAGTCAAGGCCTTGAGGCAGTGGCTGAGCAGCCATTATCTTTGATCCACTCCTGCCTAGCACAGTGTCTGGCATAGAACAGGCACTAATTTTTTGTTATATGGATAAGTAAATAAGCAGGGAATAAATCCTAAAATCATAATTACTATTTTTTTTTTTTGATGGAGTTTCACTCTTGTTGCCCAGGCTGGACTGCAATGGCACAATCTTGGCTCACCACAACCTCAGCCTTCCAGGTTCAAGCAATTCTCCTGCCTCAACCTTCCAAGTAGCTTGGATTATAGGTATGTACCACCACACCTGGCTAATTTTGTACTTTTTAGTAGAGACAAGTTTTCTCCATGTGGGTCAGGCTGTCTCGAACTCCCAACCTTAGGTGATCCACCCACCTCGTTCTCCCAAAGTGCTAGGATTACAGACATGAGCCACTGCGCCTGGCCCTCATGATTACTTATTTTTAGTTTTTTTTGTTGTTATTGTTAACGAGTCTCAATTTTTATTTTGATGACAAAAATCACATAGGGAAGGACAAAAATTATCCATGACAAACTAGGAGTGGGAATGGGCTGGGAAACATGGAAGATGGGCACCCAGAGTTCCTAGAATCCCTCCTGGAATCCTAAGTTTCCCTCCTAGGACCCTGCAAGGTACCCTAGGTGCCTCCTGGCACCCCTTGGAGGTCCCAAGGAACCCGGTTTAAGAACCAAGGCTTTAGGCCAAGAGCTTCCTTGCACAAGAAGGTGCAGATGTACAGGGATGGTTCAGACAGTGGCCTCAATCTCAGTGGCCTCATACTCCCCCTCCAGCAGGATGTAGGAGGCGTGGCTCTCGCAGGGCCACTGCAGGGGTGAGCCAACAGTTTTGCCATGCAGTCCAGGCTGCCCGTAAAGGCAAACGTGCCCTTCCAGCTCATCTCCGCCTCCTTTTCCTCAGTGCCATTGTGGATGTAAACAACATCAAAGAAGAAATATGGGCACTGGAACATTTTCTTCATGGGCTCCATCAAGGAGAACTGGGGCTGGCTGAGCGGATGGCTGTCGACAAGGATGGTGCAGACCACATATGGCAGGGGAATTGTCTGCACATTCTCTGTGACTGGAAGCTCAGTTTTCTGCTGGATCAGACTGAAAGTCCTTCTAGATTGAAGGTGGAACAGGAAACCAGATCACAGAGGCATGTCTCCAGATCATAGAGGCGGTTGCAGAGCTCGCGGGGGTCGGAGGTCAGGCTGGATAGCCAGGCCGTGTCGTTGTTCACCACCACCAGCACAAACTTGTGGCTTCTGTTGATCTTGTGTTTTGTCTGCACGAACATCTTGATCATCTGGGAGATGTTGAGGGGATTGGTTTTGGAGCCACTGAATGACTCCAGCATTAGCAGTGACATTTCCTCTGACAGGTCCAGGCAGATTATCAAATTCTCTGGAGAGCTGACCCTTGGTGTTTGAATTTGGGCCTCAAGGCCTGATGGGGACACCTACCAGGACTTAGGGTCGGCTCCTGAAGTGTTGGGACTCCCATCATCAGCATTGGCAGCCTCACTCCTCGCTGTGGCTACCCACGCTGCCATGCCCCCACTGCCCGGTCCTCAGCCCCTTCAGGATCAGAGCAAGTGCTCCTCTTTCCTCCTCCTCTTCTTCAGTGGGGCTGCTGGGCTCTGCCACTTCCATGGCTCCTGTATAGTGTAGCCTGAGCCTCCCTCCAAATCAACCGCCAGCTCTCTAGGAAGCCACCATCTTTTCAGCCGTAAGTTGTGCGTCACACTTAATTTTAATTCTTTGTGTGTTTATTTGTCTTTGAGACAAGGTCTTGCCATGTTGCGCAGGCTGGTCTCAAACTCCTGGGCTCACATGCCCCTCTTGCTTTGGCCTCCCACAGTGCTGGGATTACAGGTGTGAGCCACCACACCTGGCCAAATCATAATTATTTAAATATACCTCCCAACTGGGCATGGCGGCTCATGCTTTCATCCTACCACTGTTGGAGGCCAAGGTGGGAGGATGGCTTGAGGCCAGGAGTTTGAGACCAGCCTGTGAAACGTGAGACTCCATCGCTACAAAAAATTTAAAAATTAGCCAGGTGTGGTGGCACATGCCTGAAGTCCCAGTTCCTCGGGAGGCTGAGACAAGAGGATTGCTTGAGCCCAGTAGTCTGAAGCTGCAGTGAGCTACGATTGTGCTACTACACTCCAACCTGGGTGACCAAGTGAAAACCTATCTTTAAAAAAACATCAGTGAATAAATCAATCTACCTCTACCCCATTTTTTTTCTTCTAGGTAAACCTAGCTCCTTATTAGAATACACAAGGTTGTCCAGGATATGTTCACTACCTGTCTTTTCAAACTTGCTTAGACGGTGCCCTATGCCGACTACTTTCCCACAAAACTCCCTGTACTATTTCTCACCTCTAAGCTTTTGCTGTGCTGTGCCCCCTACTGGCAATACCATCCTTTCCCGCTTTCTTTCATTAACTTCCACTGTTCCCTAACACTCATTTTATTCTCTTTAGGAACATTATCTGACCACCTTCTTCACATCTTTCTTAGATACTCATTCCCTCCCCTATTTCTTTTTTTTTTTTTTTGAGACAGGATCTTGCTCTGCCACCTTGACTGGACTGCAGTGGAACAATCACAGCTCACTGTAGCTTGACTTCCTTGGCTCCAGCAATCCTCCCACCTCAGCCTCTTAAATAGCTGGGACCACAGGCACATGCCACCATGCCTGGCTAATGTTTTGAATCTCCTGTAGAGACAGGGTCTCACCATGTTGCCCAGGTTGGTCTTGAACACATGGGCTCAAGCAATCCTCCTGCCTCAGCCTCCTAAAGTGCTGTAATTACAGACATGAGCCACCACACCCCCACCACCACCTTTTTTTTTTTTTTTTTTTTTTAATTAAAGGTCTTGCTGTGCTGCCCAGGCTGAAGGGCAGTGGCATGATCCTACCTCACTATAACCTGAAACTCCGGGGTTCCTCCCACCCTGGCCTCCCAAAGTGTTAGGATTACAGGTGTGAGCCACTGCACCAAGCCAAGGTACTCCTTTTGATGTGCTCCTATAACACCCTGTACACACGCCCATGTGGTGGTACAACCTTTTAAGTATTTGCATCCACAACTAAATTGTGAATTCTTTGAAAATAAGGACTATTTTATTCATGCCTGTATCTCCAATACATAGTGCAGGACTTTCCCCTCAGAGAATGCTCAGTGTTTGATGAATTAATAATGATTGACAGAGAATGTGGATTCAGAGCTCATAGTACTCATAGAGTACTCATAGAGCTCATAGAGAATGAGCTCAGTGCTCATTCTCTGCAGCCTCTCATGACCCCCAACAAACATGAATGCTACTGCTCTCAACAATACTACTGGGGAGAGAAAGAGTCCTCTGATTACTATCATAAAAAGAGCAGGTCACTTGACACAAACATGGGACAGAGAAATGATGGGGAGGAGTATGTAACCTGGCAATGACACCTAATCTCTCCCTTTAAGGGCACAAATTCCACTTCTGGCATAGTAGGCATGGAGTTCACTTTAGTACCGCCATAGAGATCCCACTACTCTTCATAAGGCGTTACAGACATGTTTTTTTGCCTTCTAAAATTTCTGAGCTAATAGAGATCCTAGAGAACATACTGTCCACTGCTTTGTTCATCTGACCTTTGAGAAAAACAGAATTCAGAGAGATTAGGGTGACATCTCACCCCAGGAACTGAATCTGGGGAAAAGTTCCAGTTTCCAGACTTTAAATGCAGTGCTCTATAATGATCTGGTTGCCTCTGCCCTCATCAAGCTCTGCCCATCCAAAAACCTAAGGGGCACTGTCTTGCTGGATGGGCATCCTCAGCAGCTCACAGACCTGGCCCTGCTGAGGCTGTGCAATGATGATCTGCCCAGGCTGGATGGTGGTCGTGGAGCTGGTGGTCTGCTGGCCTTGCTGCTGCCCCTGGACTTGGACGGCGGTGGGCTGCTGAGCCAGCGTGAAATAGTACTGGACTGGCTCGGCAGGAGTAACAGACTGGCGGACCTCCTCCTGTTGGGTGGAAAGAGAGACAGGTAAGAGGAAAAGAACAGACTCAGCAGCCACCACAGTGAATTTCCACTCTTCCCCCAAACAGGCTATGTGCAGTTGCCTGCTGAATGCTGAGCTCTCCACATCTGAAGCCAAAGGAAAGTAGAATTCGAAGAGACCAGTTATGCTAAATCAAACTAAAAATAACAGATCCTATAGGCTTCACAAAACATCCAGCCAATTTTTGAAGTATGAAATAATCACCCATTGCATGATAAGTTGCAAATGGGCAAATAATTACCATTAACTAAAAACCGCGCAGCAGCAGTGCTTGTCAGTAAATGCTGTCAAGGCCTGTGATCTGAGAACAGTGCTAATTGTGTGCTGGGAAGATGCTACCCAAACATCATGCCTCTCAGGCCTGGTCCCAATCTCCCAAATAGGCAGCGTTCTTCTCATTTTATCCCCACCACTTCAAGAGGCACTGGGCAGAAATTTCAGAATCAAATTTCAGGATCGAGAGCACTGGTAGACAAGTACCCAGCTTTTCACAGCTTGTTGAAAGCTCTGTGGTCACTGAGGGCATGTCTATCCAGCTCACATCTGGTTCTGGTTGTACTTAGCCACAGAAGCGCAACCCAGGGGGCCTGATGGACAGCTCTCCGCTGGGGTACTGCCTTGGCTGATTAGGGAGGTCGCATTCTGTCCGATCTGCAGAGTGGAGACTGTTTCTTCTTCAGCTGATGTTTTCCATGGCAGAAGGAGTAAACAACCCTCTCCCAGCCACCTTGAGCTCACAGCTGAGAGTGTAGGATGTTTACACACACTACAGCATGGTTACAGCCCACAGGGTCCAGGGTTGGGCAGCCCCTGACCACTGACACAGAACGACGTCTGATCCGGAGTGACCTGTGACACATGGTGCCCCTGCCTGGGACAACAAAAACAGTAAAAACACAGAACCACTTGGGCTGTCTGAGTAAAAATATTAGCTAAATTTACTCACATGCTTATTCAGGGCAAAGTCTGTCATGTTCCAGGAAAGAGGAAGACACTTCTTCAATGTACACAGACCCTGTGGACTGCCTCAAACTCCCTAAAGTAGCATTTACAAAGCTGGTATTGACCCCATCCCCACTATGTTAGGTGCCCTGAACTGTGCTTCCAAAGTATTGTCCTATAGTATAATTTTTGCACTTGCATGTCAAATTAACTATCTGTTCTGGTAAAACGTAATCACCATGAGGGCAAAGCCTGGCTCTCTTGCTCCCTGCTATCCCCTGCATTCCCCGGTAGGCACTCAGTAAGTGCTTGCTGAATGATACATGGATTTATTTAGACAGGCAGACAGTTAGAGGCAGGAAAATACTTCTCTGAATCCAAGTTGGTGGTATGACAAATTCTCTTGAACGCAACAGCTGTTACCAATAGAAAAAAGTCATCTCTAAACTCTCTTTTGGTACCTCTAGGACTCTGTTGCCATAGGGTATGGGAGCAGCTGGTGTCCCTGTGGAACAGGGTTGGGTATTCTTTGTTTGCCTGATGACTGGGAGCCAGGATACTAAAACTAGGACCACCAATCTCTAGCCCCTAAGAAACAGGGGTCTCTGCATGACATGGTTACTTGACAGCCATTTACCTAGCTTAGGGAGGTAACTGTAACATTTTGGGTTTCTAAGCAAGTCCTTAAACATGAACTGACTTTCTAGGTTGATATATTCTGTGCTTCAGACCCAAACAGTTTTAACACTCAATACAATTATGCTGAGGCAGAAGGAAAAGGAGATTCTCTTTCATTTTCATCTATGCCTCAATTTCCACGAAGACTTAAAAATGGCAACGTCAACTCCATTTCAACCCCAACTTCTCATCATTATAAATAAATGTCAGCCTGGAAACGAGGTCTTGGCTGTGGCAAGGCTAAAATACTGATACCCTTTTCAGCCAAGAAACACCTGCTCTTTGCAAAGCTATTGAAGTGGGTTGAAGGTACTTATGTTCCACTGAGATCTCCCTTCTTATCTTACGAAAAACACAAATCACTGAAATCCAGACCTAATTTGGAAAAGCTCTTGGGTAATGAGAGGGTATACAGGACTAAGAGCCCCAGAACCAGCTGTATAGGGTGCTAGGCAGCAGGGAGACACCTGCATTTTCTAGCCCTGACCTGTGATTGTTTAGTCTCTAGTTATCCCCGACTACAGCTGATCTAGTAATTGAATGACCTTTTTGTCAGACAAAAAGCAAAACCTTTAAAAACCCCTTCCAGAAGCCAAAATACCTCTTGCCAAAAGCTGTGAGATCACGTAAAGAGCTCCTCCTATGCTGCTTACAATACTTCTTAAACCGTTTATGAACTAGACAGTATCTAGGACACTTGGGAGTATCAAGTGGAGGCACCTAGGTTTGTGTTGTTAGGACAAGGCACAACTGTTCTCAAATCGCTGGAATGGAAGAAGGCATACCTAAGGCTCTGCTGCATTATGAAGACTCATTCGGCCAATGGAGGTCAAGCTAGCAAGAAAATGATTATGCTTTGTTTAAAGAAATGGGTGAAAAGATAATGATATTTCAATGGGCAGGAACTTTCAACTCATAGCTTTAGTGGGGCAGAAGTCAGGCCTCAACTACCTCCTACTTTGAAATAGTCTTTACTTGCTTCCCTGAAGAACAAGCAAAACTCCCAAGCATTTTTGAGAAGTCAAGGGCCTTAGATTCACAATTCAGTATTTCTGGCTAGTTCCTTTTCCCAGCAGTGGGAAGTTGGCCCAAGTGGTAGAACAATCCTTTAATGACTGGATCAATCCAGAATGGGGCACTTGCTCAACTTTAACAGAGGCCTCCCCAACTAGAGGGCTGGCTCTTGGAATCTTTCCAGAAGCTGAGACTAACAAACAGTGCCAGAGAAGAGCAGCATCACATCCTAGGGCCATCTCTACAGTGTTGTGCAGCCAGCCCTGACTGGAAAAAAGTACATTTGCTTTAGTGGCAAGAGTGAACTGCTGCTTCCTTCAGAAAGGGTGGGTTTTGGAGAGTAGGCGTTTTAAAGGACTTTAAGAAGTGCCAGCCAATTTGGAGCTTGGAAAAACTTTGTGTCTACAGAGGATTAAAAATGCTATCTTAGAATTTCAGGCCAGCTTTCAGCAATCTCAACCTTTCAAAGGCCAGGCAGCAGCTGTCCCGAATACGTTGCCAATCAATGGCTTGAACACCTACAAAGAACTAAATCCAAGCAACAAGAAGCTGTTTCAGCTAGACACACACACTTTAAAAGCAGATGGATCATGGCACTTTGAGTCTGGCTAAGATGGAATAAGGATCTGTGTGATACCCCGAGAGAGCCAGAAGCACTGAGGAATTTGGAGGAACTGGTAGGATGTGACCCTTCTCTCTAGCCAGTGTATTCAGCAGACAGCCCACAGAAAACAAGGAGTTAGCACAATGAGAGTGAGCAAGGCCTGATTTCATCACAGAGCTCACCATCTTGTTTCAAAGGGGGCTTCTGATAGACACAAGGAGATAACAATTTCAACAAGGAAAGCAGGTGTGTGATACTCTTTGTTCTGAAGGAAGAGAAATGGCCTGAGTTCTTGTGGTTGTGACTTCTGAGAGAGGAGGGAAGGACCCCAAGAGGAGAAATTGAGCCTGTGGGCACAAACTTGCAATGTTTCAAAGCCGATGCGCAGCTGGGGACGACCGTGGCAGCCTGCCGCTGTAAACATCCGACTGAAAGCTCCTCTGAACACCTTACAGCTTCCAGTCAAGGATGTTTACAGTAGCAAAGACTGCCCAAAAAGAACGGAGACGCAGTGAGGCACACCCTACTCTAGTAAGGAGGTGACAGGGGGCTTGCTAATCCAAAAGCCCCCATGCAAGGTCAGAATTATAAATGTTCATTAGGATGCCCACTTCTAGACTTTCTCTGACTGGTTATTAATTCAGGCCGGCATGGGGAAAATGGTTGTCACTGAATGATTATTTCTAAGGATAATATATTATGAAATAACTCATTAAAAATACTTAAAAGTTTTATATAACAAAGAAAGCGGAACAAGGCACAGCTTTGCTCCTGTGAGATTCTGCCACTCTTTCCCAGTGTCTCTACTACACCTAGTGGAATCATCATGCAACCTGCATGCCTAAAACAATGAGCTCTACAGGACGGACGTCTGTTAGAATCACAATTAGGAGCTATATGCACCCAAGGTGCTGAAAAAACAACTAGTGTGATCTTTGGAGAGGGGCAGACAGAAGAGAGGGGAAGGCAGACATTCACATTCTTTCTTGTGATTGCTGGGAAAACAGCTCAAGTGGTGGTTCTCAAATCTGGTTGCACATTAAAAGCATCCAGGGAGTTTTAAAAGGTACTCATGCCTGGGCTCCATCATGAGATTCTGATTCAGCTGATGTGGGGTAGAGCCTGGGTGCTGATGGTTTTAAAACCCCAACAGGTAATTCTAGTGTGCAGTTGGGGCACTACATAAAGATATAAGAACCACAATACAGAGGAAGAGAAAACATAGTCCATTCACTCCAAATACCACTGTGCACACAGAGAAGTTGTTTCTTAAAAATCTAAAGTCTATAACTTTCTGGGACTATTCTCCCATCCCAGATGAAGAGCTCTGATAGACTTCCTAAGATACCTTGAAATGAGCTTCACTTTACCATTTGTAACTAAAGTTTTTCATTTTCATTTTGTCTATTTTCATTTAAATACCACTTCAGAGGCACTGAGTTAAAAGTATCCAGAAATGAGTAACAGAGGAGATGTTAAGAATGAATCTGGTCTAGAGACAAAGAGCAAAGGGAACAGCAAATGACTTGTGCTGAGAGGAAAAGGCACGTATCTGACACCAGTATGCAAAGTGCTCTTCAGTCAGCACAATGGCAATGCACGCACAGCTCACCTGACGCTTTGGAGGTTTCAGTTCATCTCTTGGAACGATATCGATGAGAAAGTCAAACTGATCAAATTTTGTAATTGCCATGGCGATATCATTTCTCTGTAACAAAGAAAAGTGGAGTGAAAAATTAGCCTGGGGAGAAAACTAGTTCACTTGGCTTTATACCCTTCAAATAAGGTAAGATGACTTCTAAGCCAAACTAAACACCCATGGCCAGTTCTATAGCTGAAATAAGCGCAGCCAAATTCATATGCTTTAAATGATCAGACTTGGTGGATAACCATCAACAAAAAAAAGATACATGTAACACACACTCTAAAATGGGGTAACTAAGCCTCCAACCACTGCTACTCCTGCTTGATCCTCTCCCTGCGATTTTCAAATTATCATCCTCTAGTACAAACCTAGTAATCTCAATTAGTAGGGTTCTGGTCATTCTGTGGGTTAGCAAAGTTAGGTTTAAAACCTTTTTAAGGCCCTAAATAATCCCTTTGCTTCACAAGTAGTTACAATCTATTTTAGATTTCTTAGGCCAAATCTTAATTCAATAACTTTCTGCAACATTTTCAAGTCACTGGATCTATATACACTAAGTTCTCATAAGCTATGGTTTTTATTTGGGAATTCAAAACTGCAATGCTTAAACCATATCATGGTTTAAGAATTCTGATATTCATAGCTTCTGCTATGAATAGTGGCAGGAGAGGTGAGAGAACATAGGAGTCAGATGGCTAATGATACTGAAACCAAGACCTGCTCTGCTGGGGTTTTCTCCCAAGTGTGATACTTCCTTTCTTTGAATAATTAAAAGATTTTTACTAAAACCCAATATATTATGTATAGTTAAGATTTGTGTACTTTACTGAAGATTTTATCGCCAAAGGAAAAAATATATATATATGAAAAAACACTGAACTCTAGTGAATGATAGCCATTTTAAAGTATTTAGGGGAAGCCAGACGTGGTGGTTCATGCCTGTAATCCCAGCACTTTGGGAGGCTGAGGTGAGCATATCATGAGGTCAAGAGATCGAGACCATCCTGGCCAACATGGTGAAACCCCGTCTCTACTAAAAAAAAAATACAAAAATCAGCTGAGTGTGGTGGTGTGCGCCTATAGTCCCAGCTATTCAGGAGGCTGAGGCAGGAGAACTGCTTGAACTCAGGAGGCGGAGGTTACAGTGAGCCCAGACTGAGCCACTGCACTCCAGCCTGGCGCCTGATGACGGCACAAGACTCTGTCTCAAAAGAAAAAAAAACGTATTTAGGAGAAAGTAAATTTTACAATGCACTGAAAAACAGATGATTTGAAGGATGGATAGAAGGACAGACAGATACAGGAATAAAATAAGCATAGTAAAATGTTTATGGTAGAACCTAGGTTGTAAGTATACAGGTATTCACTGTAAACTTTGCTTATGTTTGAAATTTTTCATAATAAAATGCTGGGGAAAATGTCAACACACTAACAGAAATCCTTAGCAAACTCTATATACCACACCTTAAAAGGTGACTCATCAGACAAAACAGGAGGGGATGGAAATTTTCTGTTTTTTCCTTCCTGTGTATCTGTGATGGCCTCAAGCCACTGAAATGCAAAACTCTAGTCCATCCTTCGTGCCAACCACCAGCTTGAAGATAAACCCTCCCAACTGAAGCAGGGCACATCTTAAGACTGCCAGGACTCATTTAAGATGACTACAACATAGTGTCACATTTTTGATGTCACCAACTCAATCGACCTAAATGGCTCATCTAATCATGGAATAAAGGGGGGAAAAGAAAAATAATAGACACCTCCAACATATAATTAAATGTTCTAGTATGTTTTGGAAACATAAATATACTTAAATTGGTCTTCCTAAAATTTTTATTTTGCTTTTTAAATTCCCTGAGGCAGGAGGATCACTTGAGCTAGGAGTTTTGTGACCAGCCCTGGGCAAATAGCAAGGCCTCATCTCTACAAAAAAAAAAATTTTTGGCCGGGCGCGGTGGCTCACACCTATAATCCCAGCACTTTGGGAGGCCAAGACGGGTGGATCACGAGGTCAAGAGATCGAGACCATCCTGGTCAACATAGTGAAACCCCATCTCTACTAAAAATACAAAAATTAGCTGGGCATGGTGGCGCACGCCTGTAGTCCCATCTACTCGGAGGCTGAGGCAGGAGAATTGCTTGAACCCAGGAGACAGAGGTTATGGTGAGCCGAGATCGCGCTATTGCACTTCAGCCTTGGTAACAAGAGCGAAACTCTGTCTCAAAAAAAAAAAAAAAAAAATTTTTTTTTTTTATGCCAGATGCAGTGGCACACACCTGTAGTCCTAGCTTCTTGGGAGGCTGAGGTGGGAGGATCACTTGAGCCCATGAGGTTGAGGCTGCAGTGAGCTGTGATTGCGCCACTGCACTCCAGCCTGGGCCATGGAGCGAGACCCTGTCTCAAAAAATAAAAAAGAAATATAGAAAGTTCCTTCTAGCCCTTTCAATATCCTTCCCCACACTCCCTTATATATGAGAAACCACAACTCTGATTTCTATCATCACCACAGGTGGTAATAATGCATTGTATCCTGCACTATGTGATTTTTTTCCTTCTGGTTCCTTTTGGTAACATAGTACCTTTGAGATTTATCCATGTTGTATGGAGCAATATTTGTTTCTTTTTATTGCTGAGCAGGAATCCATTTCATTAATACCTCAAAATTTGTTTGTATATTCCTATACTGATGTATACTTGAGTTGCTTACAGTTTTGGGGGTAGTATAAATAAGGTTAAGAGCATTACTATTTAAGAATGGCCACATTTCTTCTGGGTATATACCTAGGAGTGAAATGGCTAGGTTATAGAGTAGGGATATGTTTATTAGAAAGTGCAAAATAGTTTTTCAAAGTGACCTTACCATTTTACATTCTGACCAGCAATATATGAGTTTCAGACACTCCAATTCCTCACCAACTGTGGTACTGTCAGTCTTTTTTATATTAGGTATTCTAGTGGGTTAAACCAGTATCTCATTGCGGTTTTAATTTGTATTTCCCTGATGATAAAAGATGTCGCACATCTTCTCATGGGTTTATTGAACATTTGTTTATCTTCTTTTCTGAAGGTCTGTCCAAATGTTTTGCCTATTTTATTTTCTAATCTGAATTGATCTTGAAGGGAGCTTTAACTGGCTCTCTCTGGAGCCACAGACTAACTTCAAGGCAGCATAAATTTCTTCAACATGCATATCATTTACTGAAATTCAGTATTTTTTTTACCTTTTTTTGCTTTAAAACTTTCATATAGTAACGTACACAAATCCTAACTTTATGCTCCACTGACAAGCTGTACTAGAATGCAGGCATCCCACAGATAAGGAATTTTGTCTGTTTTGTGTATCGTTAATCCCCAGGGCCTAGAAAAGTGCCTGGCACATTGTGGGTGTTCAGTAAGTATTTTTAGAATAAATGAATAAACATATGCATTTTCTACTTTGTAGGTAAAGAGAGACGAAGAGAAAACAATGTACTTTCTTGGCTTTGATGTTAAAATACGCTACTATTTTGTACCTGTTACACCCTTCTTCTTGTATCTGGGAAACTTTTCCTCTAAGAGCTAGGGCTTGGCTATTGAGTGAGAGTTTCCAGAACCAAGGGCTCTGCATACAATATGAATGTTGATTTCCTTGGTTAAAATTAAAATTTTTGGAAAAAAAAAAAAGAAGAAAAAGAAAAAGATTCCCCAGGAAGGCCACACAAGGAACAAAAAGCCTAATGAAGCTAGTGAGACTGCTGATACTTCCAGGAATCTCTTAAGGCTCCCAACCAGCAACTGTTTACATCTGGAAACAGGTAAATACTCTATCACTTGAGCATCTATTTACAGTGAGAGGTCACCAACGGAAAGGAGTTCAGTCACTAGGCTGTGAAAATCAGGACAGAATTAAATTTTTGGTGCAGAAACACAATCATCATGACTGGAAGGTATGTCTGCCTCCCAACGGTGGAGATGCCAATTACATGTCCGATTGATAGAGGGCTAAAGAAGAAAAATAATCTTTGGTCCAAAGCCACACAGGAGAACAGGCAAAGGCAGCTGCTTACCCCAGTTTTTCCAATCTAAGTCTGCAATAATACCTGTAAAGTCCGGCGCTTGTTATCCTCTGTGTGAATCCAGGCTCGAAGAGTCAACTCTGTGATAAAAATCTGGGCTGCCTTGGCAAAGAGTACAGGGGCTTCTGCACTGATCATCTGCAACAGACACAGGCCCTCCCTGTCAATCACCAGTAAGTCATTCAAACCAGTCAGTTTATCTCTTGCCTCACTGCCTGGCATGAGACTATGGGGCAAGGGTCAACAAATGAGGTGGTATGCTCCAGAGAATCCAAGGTAAAATAGATCCATAAGTAGGAACAAAGCAGGCAACAAGGGAGCAATGAGAAAGAATACTAATTAGCACCTACCATGTGCCAAACCTTGTGCAAGGTGCTTTCTTACCCTTACAACAGCCTTTCAAAGAAACCAGGGTTTAAGAACGATGAAGTGATTTTCCCATAGCCATAGAGTCAGTAGGGTTTAGGTTCTAATCTGAGGAGAAACAATATGGGGAAGGAGAGAAAGCCTGAAAGCCAATGGAGGTGGGTAAAATTGCAGGCTTCCCATCCTTTTGGGCTTTGTTTTGTACATACTGAAAAAGTGGATAACCTTCCAGTTTTATTGTGGGAATCAAATGAGATAATACATGACCCAGCACAGGGCCTGGCACATAGTAAGTGCTAAAGCATATAAACCTCCTTGATATGTCTGACTTCAAAGTTGAAACTCTTGGTCAAACAAGGTTCTCAACCTTTGGTGAGGTAGTCTGTGCAGGCTACAGCCACAGAAAGGGCTCTGGAGTTAAAGCAGCAGTAGATGAGAAATAAGATCTTGGTCCTATCACTCTGGGTGAGTCACTTAACCTCTTTCTGTCTATTTCCATTGTCTGTAAAATGGAACTGATAATTCTTATTATATCAAATCTCACAGGGCTACTGTGAGGAAGAAAGGAGCTAATAAAAGGGAAAATTGCTATCAATTGTTAGTTTTCTGTGCAAATACAAAAGTATTAATTTTGAGTGGTCAAGAGACAGCGGTGCTCTTTCTCTGAGATCTTTAATGGAGATGGACTCCTAGGAATACGGAAATAGCCAAGCCCATGCATACCCTCTCACAAGTACTACTCATGTAAAATAAACTCACAGATCAAAAGGTTAGAAAAGGTAGACACATCATCAAAAATTTCTTAAGAGTTTAGATCAACAAAATATACATTATAAGATGCTAAGATGATGGTACTGTCCTGTTGATTTGATGATACATGTATATACTACACTGTGAAAGAACTGTGAAATACCAGCTTGGCCTGGTGGTTCACGCCTAATCCTAGCATTTTGGGAGGCTTAGGCTGGAGGATTGCTTGAGCTCAGGAGTTTGTGATTAGCCTGGACAACATAGTGAAATTCTGTCCCCCGCTCCAAAATATATTAAAAATTAGCCAGACATGATGGCACATCTGTAGTCCCAGCTACCTGGGAGGCTGAGGTGGGAGGATCATTTGGGCCTGGGAAGTAAAGGCTACAGTGAGCCATGATTGTGCCACTGCCCTCCAGCCTGGGTGACAGAGTAAGACTCTGTCTCAAAAACAAATAAAAGACCAGGCATGGTGGCTCACGTCTGTAATCCCAGCACTTTGGGAGGCCAAGGCAGGCGGATCACCTGAGGGAGACCAGCCTGGCCAACATGGTGAAACCCCATCTCTACTAAAAATACAAAAATTAGCTGGATGTGGCAGCGGGTGCCTGTAATCCCAGCTACCCGGGAGGCTGAGGCATGAGAATCACTTGAACCCGGAAGGCAGAGGTTTCAGTGAGCCAAGACTGTACCACTGCACTCCAGCCTGGGTGATAGAGTAAAACACTC